GGAAAATCCTCGGCCAACTTATATCAGTGCCCTTTTGACTAGTGATGAGGAGGAGGTTTATATCAAGCTGCTTCGTGAATATAAAGATGTGTTCGCTTGGTCATACAAAGAAATGCCTGGGTTAGATCCGAAAGTGGCAGTGCATAATTTGTCCGTAAGAAAGGGGGCACGACCTATTAAGAAAGCTCAGCGACGCTTTCGGCCCGATTTGGTTCCATTAATTGAAGTTGAAGTAAACAAGCTCATCGAGGTCGGGTTCATTCGAGAAGTCAAGTATCCCACATGGATCTCAAGCATTGTTCCTGTGAGAAAGAAGAACGGTCAAGTTAGAGTTTGCGTCGACTTTCGAGATTTAAATGAAGCATGCCCAAAAGACGATTTTCCATTGCCCATTACTGAACTCATGATTGATGCAACTACGGGCCACGAGGCGTTGTCTTTCATGGATGGGTCATCCGGGTACAACCAGATACGCATGTCGCCTAGAGATGAAGAATTGACTGCATTCCGCACGCCGAAAGGGATATACTGCTACAAGGTGATGCCATTTGGGTTGAAAAATGCTGGAGCTACATACCAACGAGCTATGCAAAGGATTTTTGATGATATGCTTCACAAAAGCATTGAATGCTATGTTGATGATGTGGTTGTGAAGTCAAGAAAGCGAGAAGATCACCTTGAGGATTTGAAAAGGGTTTTCGAACGGTTAAGGAGATATCAACTCAAGATGAATCCACTCAAGTGTGCGTTTGGCGTCAAGTCTGGAAAATTTCTTGGGTTCATTGTCCGTCATCGAGGGATAAAGATCGAGCAAGCGAAGATTGATGCTATATTGAGAATCCCCGAACCTCGTGATATTCATGAACTCAAAAGCTTACAAGGGAAACTGGCGTACCTTCGAAGATTCATATCGAATTTAGCCGGCCGTTGTCAACCGTTCAGCCGTCTTATGAAGAAAGGTGTTCCATTTGAATGGGATAAGTCTTGCAAGAATGCTTTTGAAAGCATAAAGACGTATTTGATGAAGCCTCCCGTGCTGGTTGCCCCTGTGCCCGGTCGTCCGTTGATT